CACATAGTGCAATTAGATGTGGTAACCAACAACTAAAGTATACAGGAAAGTCTGAAAGTCATCTCTTAATGCGCAATTTCGAGTGATTTATTGTACGTACCAAAGTGCCCCCACGAGGCGGCTGGCCAAAAATTACGGAATCGTATAACTGACTACACAAAGATAGCAGAAGTCAAATCAAATATATCTGACTCCTATTGTTCACCACTAGATTTCACTAAACACCAAACACGTAACGAAAAATTTCTTGGACAAATTAGAGATAGCAACTAACTGTAAACTAATTCACGTACCAGTAAGATACATGAAATTATATGTGGGGAAGTCCCACATCTCACACACACACACACACAGTACAAAAAACCTTTCATTGTTATATTATTATAAACCAGCTGTACGAAATTTACGCAATGGTTTAAGGAAAGGGCAAAGGCGAATTATTTGGATATAAGCATTTCCTTTTTAGATTATGGAATTGTCAATTTTTGAAAGAAAAACCTGAACATGCTTTATCTACGAATGTAACATTTCATTATGTATTATTTGAAATAAAACTATAAGTTATTACATAATAACAGCAAAACATTCTGTTAAAAAATACAATTTTTTTAATAATCAAACTGTAAAAAAAAGTCGCGGAAACCTATAATTTACACTGTACTTCTAATAAAATCTACACTTAAAATAATGCACATATTTCTAATTTAAGTACTCAGGCTGTTTCTTTTGCTGTCTCATACCATACAGACAAATCGCGCAGTTTTACTCTAAAAAGCCAGTAAATTCCGTGGGCAATAGAGTTTTACTTTTGGAAGGTCATGTAAGCTGTCACTACTGATGCACACACGTCTCCAAACGAAACAAAGTGAGGGACTGGCACATAAATAAGGCATGTTCATGATAGGAACAATACTTGGTCAAGAGTGCAAATTATGAAGAGCTTAATTATCTGAGTCCCAATGATACCGCCCCTCACTTAGGTCCAGATGTTTTCCTCAGCACTCTAACACCCTCAATCTCCTCTCACGACGACACATCAAGCAACACCAGAAAATAATCACATCAGATATATGTAGTTAAATATCTCAAGGCATGGAAACTCCTAACTGGTAGGCTACTGGCGCAACGATAACACATGTTTATAGACACAAGCACAGTTCATTAAGATCAGTTTTTTCTTTGCTTAGCGCGAGATTCGTCTGGGTTTATTTTCTGCGAAATCCGTTGGCGTGCTAACGAAAAATGTTCATTTGTATGTCGGCCTACTCGTTCAGGATGGTCAACCGCGTTGTCAACGAGAACTTTCTCTTCGCATGAATGAGTTTTGCCGGGCTGAACTCTGGGGAGGCCACTTCGTGATGCATGCAGGGACAACAGAGCACATTCCTGACGATTCTCGAGACAGACGGTCCTGTAACTTTGCTACACAATCCGACCAGTTTGTTACACTGAGCAGAGACTTAAACCCAGAAGGTTGACGTAGAGGAAATACTTGGTTCCAATACCGTATCGGAGAGGCTAACTCACCTGTAGAGTCGAGGACATGCTAGAATAAGTCTGACACTGATACGCAGGGCTTTGTGCCAGAATTCCCTTTGCCATCAGCAGCTTCACGCTCCTCCCGCGGTGTGTTATGGAACGTTTCCAGTCCTTTGCGCTCTCACGCCCACTGACTGCCTGGAACTGATTTGGCGTCAACCAAGTCTTCTGGAACAAGATGCAGGCTCCTTTGGAACCCTGGCGCATACGCGACGGGTACAGTAGCCCTTCATTTGATCCACATTCCACTTCCAGGACAACGTCCTTCCGATCAGCGCTGAGAAATGGGTGAATGTATTTTGCCAAGTTCTCTTGATTCCTCTGAACTGACAAACTTTTTAAATACGAGGATTCATGTGGGTTGATGCACCGTACAGTCATATATTTTTCCAAACAATGTTTCAATAATGGTCTTCTAATAGGCTCATTTGAAGTCGTTAGAAGTTGTGATTTAATGCATTTCGGTCCACTGCAGGAAGATCCAATCCGATGACCAGAAATGTTAACATTTATTCTGTCACGTACAAATAGCTCTTGACATGTGCGCGAACAGCCATGCACATTTACGTCTTGATCTATTCTCGTGGGCGGAAAATTGAGGAAATTCGTCCGATGTGTTCTTGTTTATGATTCAGAAGAATCTTCAGGTCCAGCAGAATCGGTGAATCTGGAGTTATCCCACATTTCTGATCTTGCCTTACTTTGGTTCTGACTATGGAATATAGTCTATAATAAGACAGTATTTGCTTTCATATAATCACTAAATTCGTAGATATGAATGTTAAATACAGGCTATTACTACCATGTCTATAGCCTATATCCTGGCGTATTTACAAAACCGTATCTCAATAAAATTCTGGAATTTTCAAGGCCTCACCAAAATATACGCGTTTATCAAAGTGTAATATTCTAAATATATTTAATGAATGCTTATTTTAGAGTGATGCGTTTTAAACTTCCACTGTTTTACAAGGAATATACTTCCAGGTGCTCAACAATACCAAAGAAATAATTATTTTCTTACTTTAAATTAGCTTCTTTTGGGATTAATTATAATTTCAATCAAATGCCTCAACGATAAAGAATGCAGTAGACCAAAAATACGAACAATAAATAAAAATATCTTAAATCTGATAATAAAGTTCGCACACTTCAGATCAAATAACACGACGAACACAGTGGACCACAGCACAAATTCTCCGCTCACACCATAACCTACGACAAGATGTCAAGTGGACTGAGAACAAGGAACGGTGACTCCACAGTAAAAATAAGAAAACAGTATTACACGCTTGTCTATTCAACGTTGGGAAAGTACGTGGGGCTTCTCTTCATTTAAGACGGAGAGAAAGGGGTAAGTCAGAAGATCTGAGATCAAACAGTCGTCAGCGTCCTCAATTGTAATTTTTGCAGTCTGTTGGGCTACGAGCTGTTGTTACCATTTGGCAATACACTGGTTGTGTATGTTATGCAACGTGACACAACTCAACGTCATGTGTGTCCTGTGCTAAGCACCCTGAGGTTGCTGGGCAAACAAAGAGAAATTTAGGTGATATTTGAGGTTTCACGGCTATGAGAATGATGATGTTTGCCTGGGGTTTGAAGCCGTATAGAATCGTCGTTAGGGGTCAAAGTTTCGGAGGAACATACTGTCTCCAGCCTCAGGGTAGAAGAGTCAATGAGAAGTGGAGGAATTGATACAGAGTTAAACGAAGGGAAGGCTGAGGGAGCGGCCTTATCGTTCCTCATCCCCGACTGGGTCACCAACTCAGAGAAACAACGACATAAACAGGTATTTAATTTCTTAAGTAATTTTGTCTAATGTTATCGTACCTGTGAACAGATAAGAACCACCCCGCTATTAGGAAGGCAAGACAAAGGTAACTCCACGTAAAGTCTCAGACAAGATATACAGTAACCCGAACGAGATACGATCCGGAATCTCCCAAATAGAGATCTACAACTTTACTACCCCAGCAACAAAGTGTCAATTTCTCAGTAGCAATTTTTAGTCGTATTAGGTTCTTACAAATTTTATTCAGCTCCTTAATTAAAGGTGCCTACACGTATGTGTACAGATGGTACACTATCTTATAGCTGCTAAAACCTGTTACTTTATAAAAAAAACTATTACACAAATTAGATGCTATATAGGATTTTAAAAACTAACGGCTTTGGAATCTCCACAAGTGATTTCCGTTGTTCTTGTGTCATATAAACCAGACACCAATTGCCATGCATAAAAATGAGATTACTGGTAGGAGGTTATGGTTAGCTTCATTAGGTTCCACTGAAGCTGCACCATTTGTTCCAAGAAACCAAAATACAACGAGAGTGCACTCAAAGGAATGAGGGTCATGTCCATCTCAGTATTTCCTACTGCGGGAATTCCTGTTCTTGTTTACCCAAACTACTCAGAAGGCAATCCCACAACACCACGACGCGAATCGAGAGCGGAATTTATTACTGGCTAACGGGCTTTCTAAATCCAAAATCGTCCATTAAGGACGACGTTCAATACAACTACAGACAGCTAGTTTAAAGATAACTTGTCTTCTGGCATGTTGCGCCTCGCCTCGTAGTTTTGTAGAATTTTACCAACGTTTTAGAGGTCCTTGCTGCCTCTATTTACTTCATTTGTGACCTGGTCTTTCCTTTTAGAAAGATTGTTCTGTATCCATCTTCAGGTTATAAAAGAACAAAAGCCTATCTATTGTGCCCCATGGCTGAGCCAGTCTCAAGCCTGGATCACTCGAAAATATTTGCTAAATTTTTGACACATCCTTAAATATTACAATTTTAATTCTGTGTGTCAGAGTCGTTATGTTAGGGAACAGGAAATTCGTTCCGATGATCTGCGTTACCCATGTCTAAGCAGAGCGCGCATAAAGAACGCACAGCGCAATTGAAAAAGCGCTTGCGCATTACCGAGTACTGTATACAATAAGCAAAACAGAAGCATGCGCAGTAGCTTTATCCCGGTTCAAAATATTGATCCCTTCAGATGCAACGTACAACACCCGCATCAAGATATTGCCATATGGTTCTGTCTCTTATTTTCTGAAATATTGTTTGTAAATATGAACAGAAAACGACAGATAAGTGTCAGTGATCGAAGCCTCGAATGTGTGCAATTGTGTGCTGTGACGTAGCTACTTCATTCTGGAGATACACTCTTTGAATACGTAATACTGTAGCATACGTAGGCGAGTGTAACAGTTACAAATATGAATTGCTACTTATGTAGTGCTTAAAGCCTTGTAAAATCTTGAGCATGGCTGTTTCTGCTCTTCCTCAGTGATAATTTGAGACCGGTCTGATATTTCAAAGCAGAGGTCTATTGTACATATTTATATAGTTAGTTTTAATAGTCAGAATATACGTAGTAGCATTTAAATACGTATTTAATTGCGTGTGGTGCATCCAAGATGTTATCAATTCAGCTATAAAAAGGTATGTTTTGTGGTTAATGGCTTAACTAAAGTGTTACAAAACTAACATTATTAAATTACGTATGTGTACTTACTGAGTATTTGTCAGTGTTTGTAAATTTTCCTCGTTATTTGATTTACGTGAACGATGGAACTATTTTTACAGTGAGGTGGCATAAGATTCAGCAGCTTTCTTTTGCGTCTGTGTAATTCTATGTTGGTTCTATAATGTGACGCATTATACATTTTGTACTACGTATAGTGGGATATTGGTAGTTTATTTTGAACAGTATGGCTGTACAACAAAGTGGTGTGCCTGTCCTAATAGGTGTCTCTATACTTTCACTATTTTTAGCGCTAAGTGTTTATTACATGGTGGACAATATTACAAGGCCGTCTGAAGATAAAGAACACATAACTTATTCCACCGAAAAAGACAATGGACCATCTGAAAATCATAAGACGACAAATCCCCTAACAGAATTTCTGTATCAACAATTATTTCAAAGAAAAGCTCATGACGTATGCCCCGTCTATTTAGCAAATGTCTGTAGGTGGAATTTACAAAAAGATGACAACGGAATAAAAAGTTATAAAAACACAACAAAACAGAAACTAAAGCAGTTTCATGGTATAATTAGACTGTGCCAAGTATTTGGAACTATAAAATATCAAGATGTTTGTTTTTATGTAGGAAACAGTTTATTAGAGCATATTTCAGAAAATGGAATAGTTTCTCAAATATTTCAGGACTGTGTCTACATAAACGATAACGGATATCCTTGTCTTATTAAGAGTAAAACTGAATCTGATTATCTAGCGCCACGAAATGCTTGTGTTTCTGACAGTACTACTGTCATCAATGTGCTCACTAAACGCTGTAGGTTTCGAGAGGAATCATATCTTAACGACAGCAACTTCATGCCATTCGAAGACTTGATTTACGAGGTGGAAAACGACAATTACAGGAATGAAAATGGACGTACGACAGAGGAGAATTCTGCCAACGCCGAAACTGGTGACAGCAATCAACAATATAAATCTGGAAACAACAAGACGCAGACTGGGACCAATGCTACAACTGTCGTCTGCCATGTTTTGTTGGCTGCTTTGCTAGTAGTTTCAGCTTCCGTAGCTTTATTTGAAGTGTGCAGAGATCGCCTGTCTAATAAACAGGTAATTAATTACCATCATGGTGAGACACACTTTTGGAGTTCTGTCTGTTTACGAGTAACAACATCTCAAGTTCTGTTTTCTTAATCGGTGAGTAAAAATATAAACTTCAGCCAAGTATTTAAACTCTGCTTTATAGAACTCTTCTTTGTTAATTTAGCAGATTTTCGGTTTATATTTTGTTTATTTCCAGCTAAATTAAAACCTAAGGAAATTTACGGGATAATGTAATAAAATTTAACAATAACATAGTTGCAAAATCTATATGCAAAAAACATAATAAATTCGAATATTCAAAATAAATTCATCAAAATTATTACGAACTTCTGGACATCATCTGCCAACTCATCTGGACGTTTCGGAGCCCGCCAAAGTGCGGCAAAAGTTTAGACGCTGTTTCTTTCGAATACTTTCACTTCTCTTCTGATCAGCACGTTCGCCAGATACTTCACAGAAACGTAATTTTCCGAATGTGCGATACATCTCTAAAGATAATCACGAGGTCAGCTTCAGTTCACCAAAATACTTTCTTTATTTTAACACTGTCAGGATCGTATCGCATTGTATTAGAATGCGACATTCCGAATATAAGTCTGGGTCCCACAGAGAATCTCAAAGCGTTAAATTACCCACGTTTTCTAATATAACACATTTAAACAAAAAAACTATAATACTTCACAGATAACGCGGTCTATTACAAACTGTAAAACTAAACAAGCAAATTTCAGAATCATACATTTCAAATTCGAAATAGTCCTATAAGAAATAAAGTCTTGAGAGGTCTTGTACGGATAAGAGCGGATTTCTGAATAGATGTTTCAGATGGCTAGACAATATAGACAGCATACAAAGACAGTCTTGGCCATCGTAATAATGCTATTGAAACCAATAACGTTCCATTAGGCCAACTGCCCAGACAATTACCGGCTGTGCTCAATGAACACACATAACAACTATACAGGAACTTGTTAACGTCGTCACACACACACACACACACACACACCTAGGTGGTGCGTCAGTTACGTTCTGCACTTACATACACCGCGAGTTCCAACCGGGATGTCTGTCGTTTTAAGTCTGCTGTGATAATACCGTCAAATAGACCGTGAAATACTTCAGCTTAACTAAGACTGAGGGAACAGAACCTGAAGTTTAACACCGCTAATAACAGTACGATATTAAAAACGGTCTCGAATCAGTTCAGTCCACTCGCAATCCTCACAGTCCATCACCTGAAGAATCATCTTACGCACTGCCATTTAACTACTAGGCAAACTAGGCGGAAGGCTAGATCGGCAAAAAAAACAACTAAATTATACAAATAGTTATGTGTGCTGAAGTCGACAGGGTGACGGGATGGCGGAGTCGGGGGATACAAGAATGAATTTTCGCCCACAGCTCAAAATACTCTGGCGCCGGCCCGGATCTTACCGATATGCTCCTCATCGAACGTCTAAGTGCCCTTTTACAAAATGTTTCACCATAAAAATACTACATTCATTCCTTGTCTCCCCCATCCAACGCAGGGGAGAGGGGTACGTTACAGTTCAGTTAACAGAAAAACTGTCTCAATACAATACAATATACTATGTCTTAGCGTAAATGTTGGACCTTCGAACGTGAAATATTTCTAACTAAACATTGAAAAGCCAACCTCATGACGTACCAGATACTTCAGGAGGGGGACCGGAATATTTAACCGGGTTTCTGGGAGAAATAAATGTTTTTATGCTAATAAAACGGTGGCAATGTGACAACAACGTAGCGAAATTCAAAACATTATTCATCATGAGCCATTACATGGCAGAAACTGTAAGTAAACTCAAATTCTGGAAGTCGTGGACCACAAATTAGAAACCACTGGTCTACTAAGCCAGTGGTATTCAACCTTTTTTGTTCGCGTACCCCCAGATATAATTTCTCTTCAACTTTGTACCCCCAAAGATGTTGGTGTATAATTCAAGTTATACATAGTATATAATCTACATCTAAAATAAATTAAATTAATTACATTACTGATTGATCATAAAATAATATATTTTTTTGAATTTCACGTAGACCCTAAGATGTCTTCGCGTACCCCAGGTTGAATACCACTGTACTAAGCAATGTAAATCGACAAACTACACGGGACAAAATCGACGTAAGCAGTCGAAATACAATCTACAGATAAATCGTGAAGAAACGACAAATTCAGATTACACAAGGCAGCAACTGGACGAGAACGTGATGCATGATTTGGAGATGTAATTGTTTCAATCTGTTGCGTACATTCATAATTACACTTGTAGAAAGTGATAAAATCAATGTCTAGGACAAAGAAAATCCAGATTTGTAAGTCAATATATATGCATCATCTTCTTGAAGATGACACACTATGTTGATGAACGCAGTCTTTTGAAAATATGTTTCAAATGAAATTTCAGAGGCCAGTTTCGGTCTCAAGACGGGGCTTGGTTCTAAAATTCTGCAGCATGATACGTTTTGTGAATACCTGTGCCCATCTTGCGCCTTCTCATGGACAAGTCGTAATTTGGGTTAAAAAGTAGATCGAGGGACATTTTGTATTGCGTTGCATGCAGTTGGGACAACAATCCATTATCGGTGATGGTAGGATCAACGCCATTGGAAGCCACTCGTCCTTGCTGGACAACCGGCGCTGTTCATTGGCCGACCTAACTGCGAGCCGGCACGTGAGGCGAGAGTCGATACAGCAGGTGATTCCCCGAGAACCCAGTAGCTACAACACAAGTTCTACCGTGGCGCCACTTTGCCCACAGACGAAACTCCTAGGCAAGTATGTTATTTATGTCCGCATATTTCACTTCACGGATTTCGAAATTAATTTTGTACGCAGCACCCCCTATAATTTTTTCAAAAATTGAAAAAAAATATTTTTTGTCTTTATATAATTTGTAACACTTTATTTCCTCTATATCATTATTTTAATATTGCCCCTTACGTTGTCTTTATCCACTAATCGGCTGAACTGATAGTAAAAGTCCACGGGCGATGAGTGGGAGTCAGATCGGGGCTATCATCCGGTTGCAAGGATTTCAGCGCGGCTAGCCGGTCAAAAGTAGAGAGCGCGGTGTGAGGTGGAGTGAGGGGCAGTTCACTGGTACAGCGCGTATCGGAGCTGCAGTCCCCGCAGCCGACTTATAGGAAACAACCTTGTCCGGTACCACGTGTTTTAGACTGGTTATTGTTAATGAGTGTTTAATAATTCTGTGTACTGACTATTATTTGTTCTGATAATGGTAATGAGCAAAGGAAGTGTATCATCGTTACGGCAAATTACTTTATATAAATTGTTTTTGAGTGAAAAATGATTTTAAAAAATCATGGCCGCCCTCTTCCGGACATACAAATAGTTAAAACATCGTCGATCATGTATGGGTTTTCTCCTGATGTAAATTTACTTTTCATTTATTTATATCGTTATGTGTTGAGATACTATTCTGATTTTTTCCCCTGCTCAGATTCACGAGCCGCCACTGTCTGTACGGCAAATCTACGCAGAAAGTTATCAGACGAGTATATTTTTTGTCCTCCACGTTTCGCTATAATCCCTACTGTACTCGAGGGCAATACCGTAGCCCTGCATGATAAAACAGAATTTCACCCAATTCCTGAAAAGCAGCTCACACATATTTCCTTTCTTCCTTTCTTTCTTTCTTCTTCCCAGGGATTAGGCAATGCATGAAACCCTGGTGAAAGTTGTAGTGTTTGACGTCTGCCCTTGCCACCCAAATGATCTTCCTCTTTCACATTTAGAATATGAATGAATTTATGTGACATATTGCTTCGATTTTACCAAGAACCAAATCTTATAGGTGCTCGACCACCACCATTATTACGCCGCAGTTCATTCCCAATCCACATGGGCGCTGCTGTGTCAATCACACGTCACTCTTTCACACCCAAAGAGCATGCCCTGACTCCGAGTGGATCAGCAACACCAACCAAATCCACGTCAAGGAGGACTTCGATGGATGGAAGCGAGGATGATTCTTCACCAGACACGGCAAAGCGAAGAGTCAGATTTCTAAGGAGATACTGAAGCTGAAATGATGCACTTTCGAAGTAATGCATCTGAATGGACACTTTGTTTCTTTACTTGCATTAAATATACATTTGATATGACGTAAAAGGTGCTATAAATTTATTTAGCAACAGTTGTAATGAATAGATTTTGGTAAAAAATAAGTGAATGGAAGAGGGAATTTGAGAATTCGAAAAGAACCATTAAAGAACATTTCCATACCATGATCACTGTTAAGAGTGACCGGATATAAAACATAAATGCTGATTGGACTTTAGCCTGTATGAAATGGGAGAGAATTTAAGG